ATCTCTCTACCCACCTCACATTCCCCTCCTTTATATATACCAGCGTAACCTATTTCTAGCAAGAAGTAGAACATTCGCCAAAGTACATGATAGTTCTAGAAACAAGATAGCGTGAGAATTGTCACGTGATCTCGATGACGCAACAGTATATTACTGAATACTGACACCTAAAAACATATGTTATAAATATATATATAAAAATATGTATTTCAACATTAGGAAAATACGAAATTTTCTTTTAGTATTATTCCAAGATAGTACAAAATAAGCTAAAAATGTGTTATTTTAGAAGTAATATCATTAACAGCGAATTTACCACTGTTTTCTATTCATAATATTGTAAGCTTAATTTTCAATGTTTGAATGTAGATGTTAGGTAAGCTGTAGGGCGCATAACGTTACATTAATCCTAGAATATCTAGAACGTTTAGAAATATAGTGATCGAGAAATTTTGCAAAGTGTCTAGATAGAAGACTACTTTACAAATACGAGAATTGGCAAACAGTAAATAAGTGCAGCATTGAATCAGTTGTTTTCAATCGGTAGAATGTTGGTCAGTCAGTTTAGTTTAGTGAAGTATTTGGATCAGTGTTAATTATCAGGTATATTCAGTTATTCGATAGATAAAACGTGGAATAGTAAAAGTTTATGTTTCACATTAATCATAGTACCATTAGCGAGATATCTATGTTTGAGCTTCATTTGTGAGGTTTCTTATGCATACAAGTTAAAACAGTGTAAAGTGAGTTGCCATCCACATAGGCAAAGTTCAAGAAACTTCACACCCATTATAATATAAACGGCCTAAATATTTATAAAACAGAAAATAGTATTTCTTTGACTGCACAAATTTAAGCTTATGTCATATACAGAGATTGAAATCCTGACATTAAAACGATTTTTGCGCCTCGTCACATTGTTAGAGTCGATGTTCTACGCCCAATTCTGCTTCATCTGCCGTACTTGCATCTCCACACTAGCCTTATGGGCGGAGTTTTCATTGCAAAAAAAAAAAAAAAGCTCCATCATAAGGTTCTTACGTCGGAGGTACACAACTATTCTCTGCTGCTTTACATAATCGAGTTAGTGTAAGAGGACAATGGTTTGAAGTGGCTGTTTCAACTGTCCATTTTCACAGAAATATATAGGCACGGTGTCTGGAACTTGACCATTATGTGTTTGCATGGAACAGCATAAATAAGCATTGCATTAACCAGCTGCTTGATGTATGTTATAGATGAATGCATATCTCGTTGAAACAGCTTGTGTAGACGAAGAGTGTTTCCATGTTCCAGGTGGAGACCCTTCTTGATTGAACATGTTGTTACGTCTCTGGTCGTTTGTTAATTTCCCGTAAAATTTCTTTCAGAAGAACTTCAGTGATACAACTCCTTTCTTAATTAAAACTAATTTATTATTTCTCGATACAACTTTATAATACACAAATTTCCACAGTCACTTTAACTTCAACACACGCTTTAATTCACAACGATTCACCCACTACCACTCACTTGACTCGATTATCTGTATCTCTATCTTCCTGTCTGCAATTATCTCCGCGTTATTTGCCGAGCTTATATACAAAAATAGAGGGCGTCTGACAAACACTCGGGCATTCACGATCTTTCTAGAAACTCATCACGTGTTACTAGCGTCACGTGACTTCCGCTGTCGTAACAATGTTGTATACTGCTGCCTAGAGCTCATAGTTTTTACCACTGACCTTTATGTTCACGGATTCTTACCTGTTATAAGACATCACACTTTACTTGCCATGAATGAGGTGCATCTCGTTGCAAGTCCTTTTTAGATAGTCCTGGTACCCCAACTTGATATATAAGAATTTGAATCCGAATACCAATAAATACAAGGGATATCGCGATTTTGGAAAAATCTAAATTTCTGATCTGAAAACGTCTTTGTGATCTGACCACCTGAATATTTTACGCCAGGAAGAGTTGTTAAAAACTTTTCCAAAAAGTGATAAATTTGGTGGTATCACAACAGGTACGAAACACTAAACAACGCCAAAATGTAGTTCTGACATATTGTTCTCCCGCGACTTTATATCGGCTGTGGTTGTCACCTAAATTGGTGATTTGCATATTCAAAATCATTTTAATATAACTTACTCAATTCTCTGTAATACTTTTTCTTTCTCCACTTTTTGATAATTTTTTTGCTAATTTGCTTAAGCAAAAAAGTTATTGTTTGTAGAATCTCATGCAAAATTACTCAAGGGCTATTTGCAATATCTGTTCCTAATTTTGATGGGATAAAGTGCAAGTTAAACGTAAATACACGCTCAGAACTTTTAGTATTGAGTTAAACCAAATAGAAGCTTAAACAAAAGTTCAGAATATTGTTACGTCTCCGTTTGTTAATTGATTTTCCGTAACTTCGTTCCGACGAAACTTAAGCG